ACTTCTGTAACTCGTTGGTCTGCCCCTTTCCCATGCCCTTGGTGCACACAGTCCCACACGGTACTTGCTTGACTGGACTGTGATTGACTGGGACTGGTACCGCTGACTCAGCACGGTAGGACTCACCACTTGCCCACTTGCCTCTGACTAAATGTGAGGCAACTTCGAAAGGCCACTTCCGGACCTTGCGGAAGTCTGTGGACTTGGCCTTTTGAATACTGTAGCAGATATGACGTAGACCTTTCAGGACTGTAGCAGCTACGACCTTGACCTTTCAGAACATCTACAGCTACGACCTCTACAGAGCTGTGACCCCTACTCGACAGACCTACAGATCGAACCCCTACAACTACACAGACCTACGACAGACATCGAACAACTAGCAAAAATACAGGTCACGGGTTCAAACACTCGGGGGTCAGCTCGATACTGTACATGGGCAAGGTAAGGTCTGGGGATCGAACTCTAGTGCCCGCATCTGTGACTGCAGAAAGGTGAAAACCGTCTCACTCCCGCCAGCCTAAATCCGAGGTCCTCCGAGAATACTTCAGTCTAAGGGAGGGCCTTTCCTCTTCTTATCTCTTTCGTAGGCTCGGACTATATCGGGAGCTGTCTCTAGAAGTTCTGTTCGCGTGAACCAGCGGTCGTCTTCCGGCTCTTGAAAAGCAAATCTGACTTTGTACTGTTTCTGTGGACGACCTCTACCTCTTGTCCTGAAGACGTCCTCACCTACTGTACCATCAATGTCATATCTCCCATCCATATCTGGAGGAATCATGGATCTAGGTGATGGAAACTGTTGACTTGTGATGCAAGGCAACAACTTTGACGCATGGAACACTGGGTAGGTGTGGAGGTGTGCTGGAATCTCAATAGTGTAGGACGACCCATCTTCTCCGCCCTTGACTTCTAAGACTGGCCACAGTCCTCTATACACAGGCAGTAACTTCTGGGAGATGTTCTCCTCAGGAGCAAACTCTTTTGACTTGACGCAGACTAAGTCGCCTACTTGAAACTGTGAGGGGCGACGATGCTTGTTAGCTTGTTCTATCATCCTGTGCCGAGATTTCCCGAGATTATCAACAACGGTAGCTATCTCTTTCTCGTGGTTTATCACAAACTCTCGTGTACCGGGCGGTAGCCTTTGAATCTGATCCTGGTTAAGTCCCTCGAACGGTCTGCGCAGTCTAAAAGACTTGTGCAGTTCGTTGGGAGTGCGACACGTAGATAAGTGCACGCTATTATTGTATGCACTGGCTACCTTAGGGAGCATCTCATCCCAGTTGATCTGGCCGGACCTAATGTACATTCTAAGAACTTGCTGCAGGAGCTTGTTCATCTGTTCAGTCTGGCCGTTAGTTTCAGGGTGACGGCCAGATGACATCAACAACTTGGAACCATAGACTTTCATCAGTTCCTGCCAGTTTTGATTGGTGAACCAGGTATCTCTGTCACTAACTATCGACAGCGGTATACCATGCTCACTGACCCAATGGTCAAAGAACTTCTGAACAACTAAATTTGTTCGTGCCTCTGCAGGCAGAGGAACAAAAACTGCATACTTGCTAAATCTATCAACTATAACCGTGACTTGACTTTTGCCATGCCTACTCTTGACTTGAGTATGCATAAAGTCAATGGACACAGAATCCCCGGGTCTATCAGGAATAGGCAAGGGTCTGAGAAGACTAAGAGGGGCTTGCGTAGTAGTCTTGTTTCTCTGACAGACTTTACAACTACGCACGTACTCTATGCAGTCGGCCTTCATTCCAGGCCAGATATACGCATGCATGAGGTTGGCTAGTGTCTTTTGCCACCCAAAGTGTCCCTTTGTGTCGTGGCATTCCCCTAAGATCAGACTACGGATCTCTTCACTGTTAGGAACGCACAGACGGTCAACTACATTAGTCTTCTCAAACAGTAATCCATCAGTAGTGCGGTAGTCTGGTTCGGACTTTGGGGACTCCCTAACTCTCTTGAGGAGGTCACTATAGATAGGGTCTTGTGCATACGCTTCTCTAACTTTCTGCTGCAGGTCTCTACCTATATCCAGATAGTGAACTATCGCCCCAAAGTAATCAGCTCTCCTACTTAGAGCATCCGCAACTACATTGTACTTCCCTTTTACTGGCTTAAGTTCGAAGTCATACTGGTGTAATTCAACGGCCCACCTAGTAAGCTTAGGTGTCGTCTTGGCCTGCGTCTTCAACAACCTTAGTGTCTCGTGGTCTGAATAGACTTTAAAGTGACTCCCAAGCAAGTAATGTTTGCAGTGTTCTAGTGCTTGCCTGAGAGCGTAGAGTTCCCTCTCATAGGTGGATGTCACTACCTTCTCTGAAGGCATCCTGGCACACATGAACTCTACAGGCCTATATCCATTGCCATGTCTTGCTGTAAAACAACACCTATGACGTAGTGACTCGCATCGGTGGTAACAACGAAAGGCAGGGACAAATCGGCTACCTTAAGGACTGGATATTCTATTAGAGCCCGCTTCAATCTCTTTAGGGCGGATGTGCAGTCCTGGTCCCACTTCCAGATTGCTTCTTTCTTTAGCAACCTGCGAAGGGGTGCAACAATGGTAGAGAAGTTCCTAACGAACTTCCTATAATAGTTAGCTAGGCCTAGGAACGACCACAACTCTGTCAGTATGCAGGGCATTGGCCAGTCTCTAATCGCTGCAATCTTACTATCTTCAGGTCTAACGCCGTCTCCGTCTAAGATGTGGCCTAAGTACAAAACTCGGGTCTTGGCCCATTATTTGCACTTCTTCGCGTTGATCTTGAAGTTAGCTTCTCTAAGCTTCTCCAAGACCTGCCTCAGATGACCCTCATGCTCCTGGAGGGTCTTGCTAAAAACTAAGATATCAGCTAGATACACTACTAAGAACCTATCTAACCATGGCCTAAACAAATCATTCATACAACGTTGGAATGTAGCTGGCGCATTGGTTAGTCCAAAGGGCATAACTATAAACTCATAGTGCCCATATCTAGTCCGGAATGCCGTCTTGTACTGATCATCAGGGTGAACCTCTATCTGATGATAACCGGACTTTAAGTTTATCTTCGAGAAATATTTGCAGCCCTGCACCCGATCCAACAAGTCATCTATACGGGGCAGTGGTTCTGCATTCTTCACTTTAATCGCATTAAGACCTCTATAGTCTATGCACCTGCGCAACTCGCCCTCCTTCTTCGAGACAAAAAGAACAGGTGCTCCGAATGGAGATGAACTGGGCCTAATCCAACGCTTTTCAAGGAGCTCATCCAATTGCTTGCGCAACTCCTCTAACTCCCTTGGGGACATTCTATACACAGCACCCTTAGGAGTCCTACTACCAGGCTCTATCTCTATGCGATACTGGATTGGCCGCGGTACTACTCCTGTTGGCGACTTAGCTAAATCTGTAAACTCCTCCAGCAGCTTGGCAATAACAGGGTTTATGGGTTTCTCTTCCTTAGGCTCAGTGACCGGCCTAACGTAGGCTACAAAGACCTGTTCTTCCAATTGCTCCTTCCTCACCAATAGCGCGAACACAGGAGCACCGAGGCAGCAATGTGCCAGAGAGTTGTTTACTCCTGACACATGAAACAAACGAGCCGTCTTAACGTCGCCTGTTGGACTAGGGAGCCTACACTCGTGCTCTTTCAGGTGGGGTGTGGCTCTTGCTGCCTCTCCCCAGTCCATTCCTAGGACCATATCGAAGGGGAGGCTGTCCTCTACGAGGAAAGTCAGGGAATGGAGGACTTTCTCCACCTTCCCATCTTTCTCTAGGCGAAAGTATGCCTGGACTCCCTCGACGTAATCCTCAACTTGCATAGTGCGATTATTGCGAGGATACCAACTACAGGGTCTTCCAACTTTTGAACCTTTAAACCCAACTTTAACTTCTGCAGCGCCTTTCTACTAATATAGTTGCATGTAGCCCCACTATCTATAAGGGCCCCTACTCTGTCGCTAAAAATCTCTACATCTACTAAGACTAGCTGTCCCTTCGCATCCTTCTTCATCTTGGCCCAGACAGGCATCCTCTCCTTCAATTCTTCTGCCACGCCTGTGAGGGAAGTGCCTAGAGAGACTCTAACACAAGCAGTCTCAGGACAGCTATCTAGGCACACACCAGCAACCTCTGCCATAGACACATGTGGTTTGGGAGTTTCTATGTGGTGCGCGCACTCTTCTCCATAGGGGCAGTTGCGACCCCTACCGGCGGTTTCCTTTTGCTGCCTGTGCAGCAAACTGGGCTTCTCTATATTTAAGGCAGTACTTTATGATGTGGCCCGGATCACCGCAATAGATGCACTGATCCTGGTCAATTCGCCTCTGCCACACGGTCTGTTCTAAGCCCAGATCTTCCCAAGGCCTGCCCTGTGGCAGACCAGGGTGGCATCCACCTCTCCTATAAGGTGATCGATTAAAACTAGAGTGGTTTTGTGGGGGACCTTGACCCCTACCTCCCGCTTGGCGGCCTCCTCTGCCACCAACCCCCTGATCGCCCTGTCCACGACCACTAGAGGCCCGGCCCCCTTGGCCCTGGCCTCTCCCTCTTCCTTGTGGCCTCCCTCCAGCCGCGACAATAGCGTAAGTCCTCGCTACTGTCCTCTTCCTCTAGGCCCCACTCTATCTGATCGTATGAGACCTCTTCCATACCACCCTCATCTAATGTAAGGATCAAATGATCCTTGCACTTAACCTGACCCGAGATGGTACGGCCCTTCCACTTCTTTCCCTTGTCAAGGTCCTTATGCCAGAAAGTGGAAACTGGCATGGACTGCGCCTCGAATGCTACCACTTCCCTACTCAAAGTATCGTAGGTCATGGTGGACTCTCTAATATTCTCAAAGAAGTGCCCGCGCAAGGGCTCAGGCATGGCACGATAGAACAGGTTGACTAACTGGGTCTCAGTGACCCCATGATCAGGAACAACGACAAACTCATCCATGACACCCTTGAGTGCCCTGGTGCTCCTCCACTGGCGGGAATGAATGGTCTGCAGTTTGTCTGAAGCTCTAACGCTTCATGTGACATCTGCGAACCTTTCGCGCAACAGTTTGAAGAACTCACTGAGAGGGGTGAAGGCGGAATAAGCAACCATATCGTTATTGCAATTAGCAGCACGAGACAACGACCTGGCGAAGCTTGCTGCTTCGTCTTTGAGGGCATGGAAAGCTATTAGGACATGTTCGTCAGGAGATATCTTTTGCAAATGCACGTAGGAGTTCACATTGGCCTCCCAGTTGTCGAAGTTCTCCTCCTTTCCACTGTAGGAATCGGGGAACTTCACCTTAACGGGCTCCCTACAGGGACGAGCTTCCTCTTCTTTTGGTGCAGCCAACTTGGCGCCCTCTATGGCGCCAGTACATAATCGCTCTGTGTTCTCTAATCTCGCTTGTACCTCTGAGCCCACGTGCATGATCATCTCGCGTGCAAACTCTCTAAACCCCAGTCGAATCGATCGCAGGGCTATATCATGACTCCTCCCAAACAGGTATTGCTCATCATGAGCCTGTGCTAAGCGTTCTATATTCCTTGCCATTACCTCCATCTTCCCTTGCAAATCCGCCTGTGCCTCCATCTGCACCCTCAACTGTTTCACCTCCTTCAGTTCTTTCGCTGCCTTACTCGCCGCCTCCATTCTCTTCTTGCTCTCCCTGGTCAGCTGCAGCTTCCATTCCAACTTTTTCTCCTCTTCTATCGTCTGCTGTTTGAGAGGATCTTCCTCAACTTCAGATTTCTTCACTACCGGCTCGTGTTCTTCCCTAGGGATGTATAACATCACCTCCTCCTCTTCTCCCAGAGACAATTTAGCAACCCATTTAGAGACCTTCTTTTCCAACCACGAATCCTCCTTTGTGCCACTCGTCTCGCCTCTGTCCCTGATACTTCTTCTAATCAGGGGCACTTCTTCCTCCACCTTTTTCTCTTCCTCTTCTTCTTCTTCATCCACCGCATTCATCTTTTCCTCCTCTTCTTTTTTCACCCTTTCTAACTCCTCCAACTTCTTTCTTTTCGTGGCTTGCTCCTGTAGCAAGGCCAACTTCTTGGCCTGCTTCACAACCTCTTTCTTCTCTTTCTTGGCCTTCTGCTCGGCCAGGATCCTCGCAGCCTCCTCCTCCTGCTCCTTGGTGTAAGGAGTGGTACTAGTGCCACCTCTCGTCTCTACTCTACACGTCATGGTGTTCCAGAAGCCCAATGGAAAGACGAGACGCCAGAGGGTCCCCCATAGGGAGAACCCTACGAGCAAGCCGTACATCGAGTAATCGTCCATGGTGTCAGGTGCACGACAACAACTGTGCCACTCCTCACCACTTAGACCTACCCACTTGACTGACCAACTGTCTAAGGACTACAGAGCCCTACCCTTTGATCCAGCCAAGTTTCCACGGCCGACTGAAGCTTTCGCCACCACTGTCCTTTACAGTCCAGACCCAGATGTCCAGCACCTGCGGTCAATCCCACCTGGCTTTCTCTCCAGTTCAGAACCCTCTCAACTACGGTCTCTAGCCTAGACCTACTCTAAGTTGTCACTACAGGACATCTGTGCTGATCAGGAGGCATTTAAGGAGATCCCCCAGATAGGACGACGTGATCAGCAAGTCCTCTCAAGACTTAGACAGCCCGTTGTGTAGCCCACAACTCGGATTTTGGGCCTACTGTGCCACACCGAGCAGCCCACCGGTCTGTACCGGTCCTTGGGAGGGTTCGTGTCCTCCGGGTCAATCGAGTCGTCAGACACAGCCTTTAGCCCTACTCATCCCATGTGGGTTTGGTCAACGCGGCTCTATTCCTATCACCTGGACAGAAGAGACTCAATGCAGAAAGAAGAGACAGACAGACTTAGCAAGTACCATGGGGTGAGTGCACATCCATAGGGCGAGGGAATAGGCTAAGGGCTTGGCGAGATTATACCAACTCCAGCTTGGTCAATTTCGTGGTCAGCAGCTCCGGTCAACGCCTTGGTCAGCGCGGTCAAACCTTGGTCAACGCTCCGGTCAACCCCTTGGTCAACGCCCGGTCAACCCTCTGTCAAGCCCGGTCAACGTCGAAGTCAACCCTCAGTCAACGCCTGGTCAGCGCCGAAGTCAACCCTCACTTCAGCTATGGTTGCCGACACTTCTTCTCGCACGTTCCCTCACTTCTCTTTTTCCCTCCTTTCTTCTTCCTCGCCTCTCTCTTCATCCTGGCGATGTCTTCTTTCTTCTTCGTTGTCCCTCCTTCTCTGCTATGGCTTCTCCGTTCACCTTCGTCTCTCCTCCCTCCTTCACTCGTCTTCTCTTTCTCTCTCCTCCGTGTCCGAGCTCCGCGGCTATGGCCGACTTCTTCTTCTTGGACCGCACAACAATCTTATATCGCTCCTCTCTCTCTCTCTCTCTCTCTCTCTCTCTCTCTCTCTCTCTCTCTCTCTCTCTCTCTCTCT